GGCCGAGGGGCCTGTATGAGAGCTCCACGTCATCAAATAAAGATGACGGGGCAATATATGGCCGAGGGGCCTGCATAAGAGCTCCACGTCATCAACTAAAGATGACAGAACGATGTATGGCCGATGGGCCTGCATAAGAGCTCCACGTCATCAAATAAAGATGACGGAGCGATGTATGGCTGATGGGCCAGTAAATGAGCTTCGCGTCATCAAATAAAGATGACGGAACGATATATGGCTGATGGACCTGTAAATGAGCTTCACGTCATCAAATAAAGATGAAAGAACGATATATGGACGATGGGCCTGTAAATGAGCTTCGCGTCATCAAATAAAGATGACGGAATGATAGATGGCCGATGAGCCTGTAAATGAGCTTGGCGTCATCAAATAAAGATGAAGGAGCGATATATGGCCGATGAGCCTGTAAATGAGCTTCACGTCATCAAATAAAGATGACGGAGCGATATGTGGCTGAACTCTGGGCTTCTTTGGCCTTTCAGCCGGAGACCGCAAGATGTTCGCTATATCTGAATATGAGGATGAGGTGGTGGATGCCTGTTTGAATATGAGGACGACGAAGCTGATGAGTCGGTCCGAATATGATGACGAGGCGATGATGAGCCAACCATCATACAGAGGCGATGGTCACAATCAAGGAAAGGGATGGCGATCCCAATCACCATAACAAGACTTCAGCGCTGGGAACCGGTCTTGAGATAAATAATCACGTCAAGGCCAAGAGGCCGATCGTGATGTGCGGACAACGATGATGAGGAGCCGATCCTGTAATATGATGACAGGGCGATGATGAGCCAACCGTCATATAGAGGTGATGGTCACCATCCAGGAAAGGACGACGAGCCGGATCGCTATAACAAGACTTCAGTGCCGGGAAGCCGGTCTTGAATAAATAATCACGCCGAGGCCGAAGGGCCGGTCGTGATGTGCGGATATCGATGAGAAGGAGCCAATCCAAAATATGATGACGAGGCGATGATGAGCCATCCGTCATATATAGGCGATGGTCACTATCCAGGAAAGGATGGCGAGCCCAATCGCTAGCTCAAGACTCTCGGCGCTGAGGAAGCCGATCTTGAGATAAATAATCATGCCGAGGCCGAAAGGCCGGTCGTGATGTGAGGACGACGATGATGAGGAGCCGATCCAATAAAATGATGACGAGGCAAGAATGAAGCCGATCGTCATATAAAGGCGATGGTCACCATCTAGGAGGGATGGTGAGCCCGATAACTAGCTCAAGACTCTCGGCGCTGAGGAAGCTGATCTTGAGATAAATAATCACGCCGAGGCCGAAAGGCCGGTCGTGATGTGAGGACGATGGCAATGAGGAGCCGATCCAATATAATGATGACTTGGCAAGAATGAAGCCGATCGTCATATAAAAGTGATGGTCACCATCCAGGAAGGGATGACGAGCCCGATCGCTAGTTCAAGACTCTCGGCGCTGAGGAAGACGGTCTTGAGATAGATCATCATGCCGAGGCTGAGGGGCCGGTCATGATGTACGGACGTCAGCACTGGGAGGCCGGTCTGAAAGTCTATCCAGCGATCCTTATCCATAAAGTGAGAGGATGAGGCCGGTCTTCAGAGTATGATGATCACATTGAGACCGAGGGGTTTGCCGTGTCGATATAAAAGATCACGTTAAGACCGAGAGTGCCTGCCGTGATGCAAGGATGTCGGTACTGAGGGGCCGGTCCAGAGATCCAGGCAACGGTTTACATCCCTAGCATGTGGGGATGAAACCGGTCTTCATAAAGATAATCACGCCGTGCCGAGAGGCCGGTCGTGATGTGCGGACGGCGATGATGAACCGGTCCAATAAATTGATGACGGGGCGATGATGAGCTGCTCGTCATATGGAGGTGATGGTCACCATCCAAGAAGGGATGGAGAGCCCGATCGCTAGCTCAAGACTTTCGGCGCTGAGGAAGCCGGTCTTGAGATAGATCATCACGCCGAGGCTGAGGGGCCGATTGTGATGTGCGGACGGCGATAATGAGGAGGCGGTCCGATAATATGATGATGGGGCGATGATGAGTCATCCGTCATATGGAGGCGATGGTCACCATCTAGGATGGGATGGCGAGCCCGATTGCTAGCTCAAGACTCTCGGCGCTGAGGAAGCTGATCTTGAGATAAATAATCACGCCGAGACCGAGGTGGCGGCCATGATGTGCGGAAGGCGATGAGGAGCCAATCCGAAATATGATGACGAGGCGATGATCGTCATATAAAGGCGACGGTCAACATCCAGGAAGGGATGGTGAGCCCGATCGCTAGCTCAAGACTCTCGGCGCTGGGAGCCCGGTCATATAGTGGCGATGGTTACCATCCAGGAAGGGATGGAGAGCCCGGTCACTGGCTCAAGACTCTCAGCGTTGTGAGCCGGTCTTGAGATAAATAATCACGTCGAGGCCGAGAGGCCGATCGTGATGTGCGGACGGCGACTCTGAGAAGCCGATCCGATAATATGATGATGGGGTGATGATGAGCCAGCCGTCATATAGAGGCGATGGTCGCCGTCCAGGAAGGGATAGCGAGTCCGATCGCTAGCTCAAGACTCTCGGCGCTAAGGAAGCCGGTCTTGAGATAAACCATCACGTCGAGGCCGAGAGGCCGATCGTGATGTGCGGATGGCGATGAGGAGCCAATCCGAAATATCATGACGAGGTGATGATGAGTCGATCATCATATAAAGGCGACGGTCACCATCCAGGAAGGGAACGTGAGCCCGATCGCTAGCTCAAGACTCTCGGCGCTGGGAGCCAATCTTGAGATAATTAATCACGCCGAGGCCGAGGGGTTGGTCGTGATGTGTGCATGGCAATGAGAAGGAGTTAATCCGAGATATGATGACGAGACGATGATGAAGCTGATCGTCATATAAAGGCAACAGTCACTTATCCAGGAAGGGAATAGCGAGCCCGATCGCCAGCTCAAGACTCTCGGCACTGAGGAAGCTGGTCTTGAGAGAGCATCACGCCATAGCCGAGGGGCTGGCCGTGATGTGAGGACGACAGCGATGATGATCTGGTCCAACAATATGATGACGGCTCCACGTCATTAAATAAAGATGACGAGGCGATGATGAGTCGACCGTCATATAGGGGCGACGGTCACCGTCCAGGAGGGGACGACGAGCCCAGTCGCTAGCTCAAGACTCTCGGCGCTGAGGAAGCCGGTCTTGAGATAGAGAATCACGCCGAGTCCGAAAGGCCGGTCTTGATATGAGGATGACGGCGATGATGAGCCGGTCCAATAATGTGATGACAGGGCGATGATGAGCCGGCCGTCATATAGTGGTGATGGTCACAGTCCAGGAAGGGATGACGAGCTCGATCGCTAGCTCAAGACTCTCGACGCTGAGGAAGCCGGTCTTGAGATCGAGAATCACGCCGAGACTGAAAGGCCGGTCGTGATATGAGGACGACGGCGATGATGAGTCGGTCCAATAATGTGATGACGGGGTGATGATGAGCCGACCGTCATATAGAGGCGATGGTCACCATCCAGGAAGGGATGGCGAGCCCGATCGCTAGCTCAAGACTCTCGGCGCTGAGAAGGCCGGACTTGAGATAAATAATCACACCGAGGCCGAGGGGCCGGTTGTGATGTGATGAAGGGAATGGCGTTGACGCCAGACTGAACATGAAGGACGGCAGAGCCGGTCCGATGATGGACTAGGCTTGGGCGTTCATTTGAAGATGAGGGACGACGTTGGACGCTCGTCTGAAGATGAGGGACGACGCTGAGCGCTTGTCTGAAGATGAGGGGCGGCGCTGAGCCCTCGTCTGAAGATGAGGGACGACGCTGGGCGCTCGTCTGAAGATGAGGGACGGCGCTGGGCGCTCGTCTAAAGATGAGGGACGGCGCTGGGCGCTCGTCTGAAGATGAGGGACGGACTGGAGTAAAGGGATTAAATCACTTTTGAATCAAGATATAAAAGTATTTTCTCACCTTTCAGTACATCACCATATCCACGGTCACTTCTCTCATTCATCAAGATAAAGCTTCAGTTAGAGCTATACACTCAACAGTAGACTGCACTAAAACAAACAAAAAAGGGATGACACCCCATCCCTGAGGGCCCTCCAACATCGATCACAATCTGACAGATAGAGAGTGAGACTCTGTCCCCAGTACTTGCAGAGGTCCTATGCATTTTTTCGCATAGTAACCTCTCATCGCAATTGCCGAAATTTGAACCCGGGACCTAACCCTTGTGGCATTCCCTCGCTATCAGTTGAGCTACGCCCACCGATACTAAAACAAAACTCTCATATTTACCGAGTCTAACTATATATTGTCTCTTAGCTTTCACTTAAAACCTGTACATTTCCAAAAGCCCATAAACATCTTATTCTAAAGTATTGGACAACCTTTGTTCAGTATTTGAAAACCTTTGAACAAAGTTAGAAGAGTGCCTTTTATAGGACATGACTCCCCTGGAAAGTACTGAACTCTCTGTATAGTTGTATTCATAACACGACTTTCCTAATAACGTAGCAAGATCTCGTGCTGAGCAGAAACCTTCATCTAAAAGCAAGACTCCCGTTTTCACACAGTTAGCTTCTCAACTCAGACTATCGTTCTCCAAAGTCCAAACCGTTCCATAGTCCCATCCAATCATCTCAAGTATTTTACCCTTATAAATAACTCAATCTCTAATGAATCAGAAATACAAGTGTCACATTCAAAGAACTCAAAACTTTTACTCCAAAGAAGCAATGAAATTGATGAAATTTCATATTTAAAACAAATTTTATTAATAAAAATGAAAAATTATATGGAAATAGTTAAAATAGTCTTTTTCAACAAATTCAACCAATCCAACCAAAAAAGTAATTTCTGCACTATTTATTTAGATTATTACACAACTCAACACGCAAAATGAAAAATTACTTATTTGATGAAATATTGATTGATAAAACTGATGAGCAGAAAAATGGATTACCAATGGGCTCTTAAAACCACTCGCACTATTTTGCATGGCCATAATATTCGTGAAAAACTCAATGCCCCAAACTTAATGGGAGAAGAGATGTAGAAATAACAAATTGAATGTGAGATTGTTCTAAGAACAAATATGATCAATGTAATCAACCTATATTAATTAATGATGATGATGATGCGAAACATACAATTACATTCAGTGGGAGGAGAGCAAACTCCTGTGAAGATCCCCTCATGCACGGCCGAAAATTCTGCTCAATTGTACTTTGCCTCTAAATATATATCAAATAAAACTAAGAAATACATAATACAAGGAGAAAAAGGGAAAGACAAAATGATACAGTGGGAAGAAGCCTTCAAGAAGGTGTGGTTCCTCAACAGAATAGTTGGAAGAAATTGGATGTTGGAACTCAACCAACATGTCATCTCTCTCAATGCCCAACCATACCTAGTATTTTCTGTAACATGGGAAACATAAGCAGGTTGGGAATTGCCTTAGATCCCAAAATATGGTACCTTGAAGCATTAGCTATTGAGCTTACAAACTTTCCGACAACTCTCAACTAAGTAGTGACATATTCAACTCGCCCGTGTTTCTGATTGTTGGATGATGAACCGAAGAACCTCTTAGCCCAAGATTTGTTCTTCTGCTTCACTGGTTGAATCTTTATGTCCCTCTTTGCATAAAGCTCTGCCATGTACTGGACTACAGCCTAAAAGAAAACAATGCAGCATATGCTAAGCTATTTTAAAGTGAAGAGCAGAAGAGGAAAGACCCCCATGCTATCAAAAACCGAACTGAGTAACATAAGTTGGTTTATGTCTGATTACGTTTGTTTACTTTTGGTCAATTCTGGTCAGCTTGTATAGTTTTGATTGGTTTGGTCGTATTTAAACATAAAATAAAATAAAACCAACTGGTTGAATTATAGTTTGGTCGGTTTAGTCTGTTTCGATTTCCGTTTATCAGTTCCTTTGTTCAGCCTTAAACAGAGATGTGATGATAAGATTCAAAGAGCACCAAGCTACTAAAGTAACATATGTTACCTTTGCTCCCTTTGCAACTACGTCTGAGGGTGGGACTTCCAGAGGGTTTCCTTCAGTCTTTAGAACACTCAACTTGGACAACATTCTAAATGAATCGGGTAGAGCTCTGATCTGATTATTACTCATGTCCAATTCTTCAAGCATCTCGAGGTTACCAATGGATCTGGGAAGATATTGGAGGTCTGCAAAATTGCTGCTAATGTTCAGTTTTATTAGCGTGGTGGCAAAGCAAAGGCTCTCGGGCACATATTCAAGCTCATTGAAACTAACATTGAGCTCTTTCAAATTTTCCAATGATGCCATAGTGGTAGGTAACTGTCTCACATTGTTGTACCGCACAGATAGGATCTCCAATGTTGTAATCCGTCCCACAGCTTCAGGTAGTGCTTTAAGCCTGTTATAATCAACACGAAGCTCTACAAGAGAGGAGCAATGACCAATTGTGTGAGGAAGCTCCTCAAGATCATTTGTTTCCACGATCAATCTTTTGAGACTTTCCAGAGAACAAATTCCCTCTGTGAGTGAAGAGATCATGTTTGAACTCAAATCAAGTTCATGAAGGTGGATTAATCTAGCAATGGAAGCAGGCAATGATTTCAAATGGTTTCCTCCAAGGTCAAGAGAGATCAACTTATGCAAATCTCCGATGGAATCTGGCAATTCTGTGATTCTGTTTCCACGCAAACTTAGCTTCTGTAAGGATCCAAGGCCCCCTATGGAAGTTGGTAAAGCAGTTAACCTATTTTCAGACAAATCCAATGAGATCAAGCTTGATAGCTTCCCAATAGAATCAGGAAGCCATTCGACATGGTCAGACAACTTGCTATGAAGATTAAGATGTAGGGATCCCTTCTTCGCCAACACTTCGATCAAACTTGCCAGCTTTATCAAGCTTAGCTTTTCGCCACCTTGGCCTATTTACAAATCAATCAAAATTCAAATAAATTGTGCTTAGCAAGGATATCAATGTCAAAACAATAACTTCATCTTATTTATAACTTCTATCAAAATTTAGCAATTACTTCACTGGATTACCATAATAGGAATTCATTCACATATCCAGGAGAAACATTACCACAACGCAATTCATACTTACTTGGACTAATAGGAGTCAAAGTCGGATCTACAATCTTGGGTACCGAGGGGGTATCTAAGTGTAAAAGACCATCAGCACGGATGGTGGTTTTTCCCTTGGTCAAATAACTGTCGTCTTTGCTAAACAAGTCAGAAGCTTTCATTGGGGCTCTTTCATTGTAAAAAGTGGTGATGGCACTGGTCCGGGGGGAGCTGAGACTGCTGCCGGACATGGATGCAGAGTTTGTTAAAGACGGGATGTTGGAATCCAAGGAAGAACTTGAGGAAGAATATGGCTGAGCACTGGAGGGTAGACATTTCGAAGCCCTAAGAACCAAATCGTCGAATAGCTTGTGGGCATTCTCCAGGTCCAACAACTTCAACGCCTCTCTCCTCTGCTCTTTGCTCTGAAAGTGAACCATACACCTCTGCATCTCCTGCAACACCTTGAACAGCTCTTCAGGAACACCAATTCCTTTCCTCTGCCTCACAATGGCATCGAGTCTCATCTGATCCTCCCTCTCCATGTTTGCAATCAACGACTTAGCCGCCTCCACCTCATCAATTCCTGGCCGCGCAGGAAGAGATCGATGAAGCTTCATGATCTCTTCCACAACCTCCTCAGTCGGCAACGCCCTCGTACCCATTTCTCGAAATCAGCTAACACCCTTCCCCCAACTACAAACAGCCCGGCAATTTAAAACAAAACCGGATGCAGAAAAAACTTGAAAATGAGAAGACGTAACTGAACTTTCTTTCTTCGAGCTTCTGGAACATCCATCGCCCAATGTCTAGCTTGAGAACAGGACAAACAACAAACAAAACAATTTTCCGCGCAAAAAGGTGATCAAAAAAGAAAATAAACAAATAAACAAAATAAACCCAGATGCTGTTTCGGAGCTTTCTTCACGGCTCTGCAACGGTGGCGATGCACTTTATGTTGGAGGGATGGAAAAGCTGAGGATACGCAGAAGCAATTATGCTTCAGATAAGGATATGTGGGGTTTTGGAGGGCTTTAACAGAGGCAGATAAAAGAGATTGTGAAGTGGAAAATTCGGAGCTAAGATGATATTCCGATCAGAGACACCGTAAAGACGATGGCGACCGATCGGCGCAACGAGTCAGACGGATTCACTCCGCCTCTGGTTACCTTATACAGATGAGATTTACAAAATACCCTTCGCTGGAAATAAAAATCACGGAATTGCGGCAGCTTTTCTAGGATGTTCAGACAACGCATTTTCGGGTTCGGCACTTTATTTGTTTAGACATTTGATCATACACAAAATTTATACGCACGCAATTTCCGATTTGTTTTATCCATTGTATTTCCCCTTTGTCTTACCAATTACGCACTCTTGTTCCTTTGTTTTTCTTTTTAATGGTACGGAGTACACTACTCTTCTGAATGCCATAATATACGGAGTAGTATTTACATTTTACTATCCACAAACACAATACAACATATCGCCTATAATAATTAACTAATCACGCTACTTTTTTATCATCAAAACAAACTGCTTATATTAATATCATTAGAAATTGAATCGTTACAATAAACTCAAAAAGATCAACCCTGACAACAACAATAGCTAACCAACTACCACTATCAATCCTACGGCTAGACTCGGTGACGATCACATCTGAAAGAGCAATACGAATCCTTAACAACCAAACGGGTGTGACACAACAATCACTAGCCATATAATTCCTTCTGACGACATAATATCTAGCAGAATTTTCAATCATAATTGTAGACCTAAAACTAAAGACATCAACAAAAAACAGAGCAACATAAAACATAACGTGAAAATAAAACCATAAAAAAATTAAATAACAGGTAAACCTTCCAAACCAAAGCGCCTCGACCGCTCCAAGGCGGCGGTTCAGGAGGGGAGCGGACCGCCGATCTGTTTTCTCCCTTGCTCGGCCCACCACCGCCCTATACCCATGTTGATTCGCCAGAAACTAACCCTTCGACCTCCTCCTCAATTGAAGGAATGAGACAACACTGCTCTAGATCATCATTAGAAGACATGATTATCGTTTTTTGACTTTGGATTCGTTTTCAAAAGCTGCAGCTGCACTCACGCCTCCTTAAAAAGCACTCTAGAAGTCTAGAGAAGAAGAGCCGCACAAAATTGGCGGAAAAAAACCCTACGCGGCGCTTAGCTGTTAGGGAGAAACCCAGTCCGTGGATTGCGAGGGCTAAATCTGTCGCTGCTCCAAGATGCCGCACAATAGGTGGATTTGAAGGAGAGAATTACGTCGCCCAACTTGTGCTACACAAAAGTACTTCACAAATGCTAAAGGTACCCCAAAATGTACTCCATTTTTACCTCCACCCCCTAATGTGTGGCCATAAATGGGGCAATTCATTTAAGTGGGGTACCACTTAAATAAATTGGTCCATTTATGGCCATAAATTAGGGATTGGGGTAAAAATGGAGTACATTTTGGGGTACTTCTAACAAAACTCAAAGTACTTAGTACTCTGTATATTAAGTAATTACACTACTTCAAAAGTTGAAAGTGATAACTGATTGTTGAGGTTAAGTCCCGAATGACCCAAAAGCCAAACACCAACCTTGGATCTAGGGTGCGATTTGCTACAGTAAACTGTATAAAAGAAAATATAAAATCTGATTCAACTACTCAAATAACTCAGCTTGTTTTAACGCAGTAATAACAATTACACAGAATTCGCCGAACGGCTGTTCCAGTCCAACGGCTAATACAAGAGCTACAATGCTATTAAAGCTAGAGAGTAAATAAATGTTAACCCTTACAAAAGCAATTAAATGCTGCTATTTATACTAGATGGGGGTATGGGGTTGTAATACTTGAGATTTAATTTAAACGGATTAATAGTACTACTCATACCAACTAGGTGCATCTCCTTTTAACGGTGCTCATTAGCCAAGAACTCCAAAGTTAAGCGTGCTTGCACGGGAGTAGTCTTGGGATGGGTGACCCCTTGGGAAGTTTCTCAGGGCGCGTATGAGTGAGGACAAAGTGCGCGGAAAAAGATAGTGGCAGTTTGTGAGGACAGTACTAGAGTTCTACATAGAGGTCAGAAGTAACTACCTCGGAGCCTGCAACGCCGGGGTGTTACAGGTGGTATCAGAGCAACCCTGCGACAGTGTGCTGATCCGTTGGATATCGGGCAGACACTTAGCAAGGGGAAAGATTCTGGGATTTGATTGAGATTGATTTATGGGCGCAACGAGGACGTTGCGTTCCTAAGTGGGGGTGATTGTAATACTTGAGATTTAATTTAAACGGATTAATAGTACTACTCATACCAACTAAGTGCATCTCCTTTTAAGGGTGCTCATTAGCCAAGAACTCCAAAGTTAAGAGTGCTTGTACGGGAGTAGTCTTGGGATGGGTGACCCCCTGGGAAGTTTCTTAGGACGCGCACGAGTAATCCACCAAGCCTCTGACTCGGGAGTAAACTGATTACCCAAGTGCCAGTTATACCCCGTTCAGAAGGTGTCGAACGGGCCTTTCTGGACTACCCTTTAGCTATTCGACTGTCGTTCGGGCCCAATGACTTCTTCTGGATTACCCATTGTGTTCTGGGCCTTAGGGATATGCCGAACTTCCGTTCGGGGGCTTATGACTTCCTCTGGGCTTCTCCTTGCGTCTCGGCCGGTATGTTGGGCCGGACTTTAATATCCCATCACATGTCCCCCACTTCCGATGTTCCGAGTGTGCTCGAGACATGAGGAAGTAGAACCGTAAGCTTCCCGCCGTTCGGTGTAATCTCGTACGGTGCTCTTTGCTAGTGTTTGCCAGCTCCTGACGTGACGGTTCGAAGTCATTTGGCGGTTGTCGCTTGTATTCCCTATGTAACTGTCATGATTACCTATCGTTTTGCCTCCATGCGACATGTGTCCCTTGGAGCATTTCTTGCCATGTGTCACTTTGTGACTGGTTGGTGTAACGGCGCCTCTAGTCCATAAGTAGGGGTTTTGGGATCTGGTTTCGGTTTTTGGATTTTCACCCCTTCGCTCAAGTATTCTGCCTTCTTTCAAAATCCCTAATTTCGCATTTCGCTCAGGTAACCACCGGTCCTCTGTCTTCTTCTTCCTTCCCTTTATTCCCTAGTTCGGTGCAAATGTCTTCGATCTCTAGCCCTTCTGACCCTTCGGTCATCGAACCGCTCTGAGGTTCAGAGGAGAATACCCAGGAAAATGATGTTGCGGGCATCAGGGGTGCCGTAGAGGATACGGCATGAACCTCTTCCCCCGCAATTGGTTCCGAGGATGCCGCTCCTAGCGATTCCTCCGATGATACGTCTAGTAGCGACTCTGATGACGCCATATTCGGGGATGATATGGCGGTAACGAGAACAGGCCCTCCTGACGATGCCCCTCGTCACCATTTGGACTTGAGGCCCATCCGAAATCGGAGATAAAAGTTGTCTAATAAACTTAGGGCCCAAGTTCCTGCCCTTATTCCTGACCCAATTGACTTTCGCCTTCACACTGGTCACCATCCCCTGCGCCACCGCCCTGGGATGGCGGTGGTGCATTTTGATTCTGTTAAGGCTGGGCTAAGATTCCCACTCCACCCCTTCTTCGTGGCCCGTTTCAACCACTACCAAATAGTCCTGGCCCAAGTAATGCTGAATTCCTATCGGGTCATAGCCGGATTCATATGCCGCTACAAGGATGTTAACTTGGAGTCCGTTCTGGATTTCTTCCATTACTTCTTCAAGGTTGCCCCCTAGCAAACCGACGGATTCCTAACAGTGAGTGCCCGAACGAAAAGGATCCTCTTCAAGGGAAACCTTACCTCTATTAAGGGATGGAAAGATCGTTTTTTCTTTGTCTCTGTCCCGGATGGCCTCATCTCCAAGAGGTGGAATGCCTACCCGCCTAAATCCACCGAGCCCCTTGTCACCAAGGAGTTGGAATAGAAAATCGTTGCAGTAGAGAGGCCCGAGCCGCTCGATATCATGGCTTACTTCACTCCCACCCGGCTTGTGGAAGCCGAGATAGATACCGTCCGAATTCCTGGGACTCTTGACTAAAAACCAAGTGCCATGGCCCGGGCGGTCCTTCCCGTGCGAGAAACTCACATATGCTTATTTCAAACATGCTAAGACCACTCGGTACTAACATTTTCCGTTCTTCCTTTTCAGTTCCCAACACCGAAGCGTCAATGGATCTCGGTTGTCTTGCACCTATGGGCGCTGGAAAGAGGAAGAAGCCAGTCAAGAAGGCGCCCCAAACCGAGGACGCTGGGCCTTCCCAACTGGTGGTCCAGGAGGCCCAGCCCATTCAGCAGGTGCCTGTTGATCATGTGAACCTGGAGCACATGGAGATCGATTCGCAGTTTGAGGCTACCCATACCGATCCCTTCTTTACTGACCTCCTCGGCTCGGACGGGGCTGCCAAACTGGATGCCGTTCAGGCGGAGCTGACCAAGCTTGTGAAGCAGATTTCCCTCGAGGATCCCATTCACGAGGTTATGGAGCAATCCGAATGCTCACTCCTTCGGATATGAACGATATGAACGACTTCCGCCTCCCGCAGCTATCAGCAGAGCAAGTCGAAGTAGGGGCTGCACTGACCACCATGAAGGTAACTATTCATGTTGTTCGCTCTTCTTTTTATACATGTGTTTGGCAGTTTATTCTGATCGAGTGTTTTTTCCTCAGGCTGGTCTATACAACCTACATCTCCACCATGCTCGAGCGACCAGGGAGGCGGAGCTGGTCAAGGCCCGTTCTGAGGCTGAACAGGGGGTTGCAGATGCTCTTCGCTCGGCCGATCAGGAGAGGAAGAAGCTTGAAGAAGAGCTTGGCCAGCTTCGGGTAGTCCTTTCCATTGCTCAGGCCAAGGTGGCAGATGCTGAAGCTGCCTAAATTGTCTTTAAGGATAGTGATCCCCAAATCCCGGATGGTCCTTGGGAAGTCACTATGGATCTGTCCACCGTCCGTGTTACCGCTCAGGCCGAATTTAAATCCTCCGAGGATTTCAACAAGGCCGCTGAAGAGTATGGGGGCCCAAATATGATTGGTTGCTTTCAATGCCAATTGTGCACACATGCTCCCACTTGCAATCCCCATATCTCAGCATTAAATGCAGTTTGCCACTTGATCGAATCCCCATTCGGGATTGTAATCCACCAAGCCTCTGACTCGGGAGTAAACCGATTACCCAAGTGCCAATTATACCCCGTTCGGAAGGTGCCGAACGGGCCTTTCTGGACTACCCTTTAGTTACTCGACTGGCGTTCGGGCCCAATGACTTCTTCTAGATTACCCTTTGTGTTCTGGACCTTAGGGATGTGTCGAACTTCTGTTTGGGGCTTATGACTT